CCTGAGGGTCCCAATATGGGCCATGTGTTTGCCCATCGGTGCTGTTATCTCCCCGACGCATGTGTGCGATTGCTGCCCCCAGCGCGAACCATATGATAGCGAAAACGATTAGCCCGAGAATGTGTAACGAAGGACGGTTATGATGAGCGGTGTCGCGCTGGGGTAGCGCCTTGTCGAGTCTTCGAGGCGCTCTGTCTGGCGGGTTTCCCCGCCCTTGCTTCAGGTATTGCGTTATTGGCTCGTTGCCGAGCGGTTGATAGTAACGCAATGATGAAGCGTATATGGTACCAATTTGGTCGTCTAGACGTCGTACCTCTCGTGTAGCTTCTTGCTCTTGAATAGATCCTCGTAAATGTACTGGGAGTGGTGGCGCAGGGTAGTAGGTGGTCACGAAGATCGTGCCGAAGAATGTGAGGCTGAGAAGAGCAAGAGCTGACCACACGAGAGTGCGGCCAGCTCCGCTACCAAGTCGAAAGTGAGCCTGGTAACTCAAATAGGGCATATAGCCTGGCAAATTGCATCCATCGCTCTGCTGTGAGGGTACAGTATGAGGGGTGGATGGGTAAGATAGGATAAGATCGATGTAATGATCTTTCCAGCACATAGCGAACACAAGCAGTGTCCGAGCAAATAGGGCGCGCGTGCCTTGAGCCCAAGGCAGCGGCGCGCGAGCTATGCTCCCGATACTGTAACATCTCCCAAAGAGCTACCCTTAAAGTCGTTCGGCCACATAGGCGCTTCCAAAAAGACAGGGTGCGGCGGTGATTCGCCGAAGGAGTCTTCGATCCGCCGCCCCCTGTCGATTCATCGCAGGGGTGCCTGGCGTGCCGAACGATATGGTTTTGGCTCTTTTTCCAAAAGAACTCCCCCTGGGGCTTCGGCCCGTCCCGCCGGGGTCCCGGGAGATTCCCGAACATCAGCCTGTCAATGCCTTTGTTGCCCCAAGTTGGCCCAAGATGGCCTCCAAGACGGCCAAGATGGCCCAGGATGGCCGCCAAGATGCCTCCAAGACAGCCAAGATGGCCTCAAAGACGGCTACGATGGCTCCAAGATGCACACAAGAGGCCCAAGATGGCCTCAAAATGGTCTACGACGGCCCAAAAGGCCCGCAAGAGGCCTCCAAGACGGCCCAAGAGCCCTCCAAGACGTCCTCCAGGAAGGCCCGAAAGGGCCAAAATCATTGGTTGTCCTTAGGTTTTTGAAGGATTTTGGCATTTGCGCCTTTTCTGCTTTCCGACTGCCAAAGGCGGCCCAAGAGGCTCCCAAGATCGCCCCAAGATCGCCCAAGAGGCCTCCAGGATGGCCCCATGACGGCCCCAGACGCCCCCAAGGCCGCCCCAAGAGGGCCCGAAGACGGCCCAAGAGGCCTCCAAGATTCCCAAGATGGCCTCCAAGACTGCCCTGGAGCACCCCAAGAGGGCCCCAAGTCGGCCCAGAAAGGCCCCCCAAACGGCTTCCGACGGCGTCAGACTGGCCAGGAGCCCACTAAGATGGCCGAAGTTGGCTCGAGGCTGGCCCAAGACTGCCCAAGAGGCCCCCAAGAGGGCCTCCAGGAAGGCCAGAAAAGACCAAAATCATTGATGTTCCTTAGGTGTTCGAAAGATTTAGACATTTGCTTCATTTCGGCCTTCGGACGGCCCCAATACGCCCCCAAGAGCCCACAAAGATCGCCGAAAGATCGCCCAAGAGACCTCCAAGATGGCCCCAGAACGGCCCAAGAGGCCCCCAAGACGGCCCCAAGAGGCCCCCAAGACGGCCCAGGAGGCCTGTAAAACGCCCAAGATGGCCTCCAAGACGGCCCTGGAACATTCCAAGAGGGCCCCAAGTCGGCTCAGAGAGGCCCCCCCAACGGCTTCCGACGGCATCGGACAGGCCAGGGGCCCATCAAGACGGCCGAAGATGGCACTGACATGGCCCAAGACGGCCCAAGAGGCCTCCAAGAGGGCCTCAAGGAAGGCCCGAAAAGGCAAAAATCCTCGATTTCCCGTGAGTTGTTGAAGGATTGTGACATTTGCTCATTCCGACGGCCCGAGACGGCCCAAGTGCCCCCAAAGATCGCCCAAGAGGCCCAAGACGGCCCCAAGGGGCCCCCAAGACGGCCGAAGAGGCCTCCAAGACGCTCAAGATGGCCTCCAAGACGGCCCAAGAGCCCTCCAAGACGTCCTCCAAGAAGGCCCGAAAGGGTCAAAATGGCCTCCAGGCGGCCAAGATGACCTTCAAGATGCCCACGTGTTTCCCGAAGGCTTGCCAAACCGATTCGGGGAACACATGGTCCGATAGCTTGGCAGGTCTGGCCTCAACGGTCGGCCACATAGGCGCTTCCAAAAAGGCAGGGGGCGGCGGTGATTCGCAATAGGCGTCTTCGATAACGCCGACGTCTCAATATGTGCTGAGGATTCCTATCCGCCCCCGCATGATGTTCCCGGATGCGCCAAGGCACCGCCGAGACGCAACGACGCGACTCTGATATATGGTCCAGGGCTTGGGCCCGCCCCCACCCCCCCAATGCTGATGCCATTGGGCCCCCCCCCCCCGCGCGATGGTCCCCCCGCCCCCCCCTGTGGACGTGGCGCGGTGCTGCGCTGCGGTGCCCCCCTCCCCCCCCCTGTGGATGTGATGTGGTGCTGTGGTGGTTCAGAGGCGGGCGTGGCGTGGTGCTGCGCTGCGGTGCCCCCCTCCCCCCCCCTGTGGATGTGGTGTGGTGCTGTGGTGGTTCAGAGGTCGTCGTCGTCGTCGTCGTCGTCCTCGTCGTCCGCGTCGTCGTCGTCGTCGTCGTCGTCGTCGTCGCCGTCGTCATCGTCGTCATCGTCGTCGTCGCCGCCGCCGCCGCCGGCGTCGTCGCCGCCGCAGCCGTCGTCGTCGTCGTCGTCGTGGTCGTCGTCGTCGTCGTAGTCGCCGTCGTCGTCGTCGTCGTCGTCGACGACGCCGTCGCCGTCGCCGTCGCCGTCGCCGTCGCCGTCGCCGTCGCCGTCGCCGTCGCCGTCGCCGTCGCCGTCGCCGTCGCCGTCGCCGTCGCCGTCGCCGTCGCCGTCGCCGTCGCCGTCGCCGTCGCCGTCGCCGTCGCCGTCGTCGTCGTCGTCGTCGTCGTCGTCGTCGTCGTCTCTGGGACCATACCATCTGGGGGGGGGGCCCGCGGAATCCTGGGACCATACCATCTGGGGGGGGGGCGTGGGCCTGGAGCCTGGGATCATATATCCCACTCTGAGGGGGCCGGCGGCAGGGGGCGACGCCCTTACGGATAATTAAACATGGGCATGGCACGATGTCACTGTTGCTCCTAGATGAACGCCAAGCCCATTGGAAAGGCAAGGATCACTTTACGGAGCCCGTCCAATGAGAAATAACAGCATACGCACTGCTACGATTCAAGATCCAAGCTTTATGCCGAATGGAATCGAGGGTCTAACACGAATCCTGCTAGGATGCGACTGACGACCAAGGGTGATTAGCCCTGGATATGGCAAAGTGTCTCTGCTGCTCCTAACGAGAACTCCAAGCCCACTGGAAGGGCAAGGAGGTCTTTTTCTCGAGCGCGTCCAGGGGCAAAGAAAAACAGTGCAAGAATGCGACGCAATATCTAAGACACCTGCACTTGCAACAACTGTCAAAGGCATGCCCCATGACATCAGGGGACAAGCACCATTGAAGGGGCCCTGGGACACACAAATAAGTACACACAAATGAAAAGATTCCCCATAGTTTCCCATATTTTTCTGGGTTTTTGTCTTCCCGCCCAATTCCCATAGGTTCCCATATTTTCTGGTGAATCGGCGATTAATTGTCTGTGTGTTTTTGTCCCCTCCTGAACCATGCGCGGTAAGATGATGCTGGCGACCCTGGGCCGCCGACCCAGGGTACCTCGTCCCAGGGAGAAAGCTCGATGCCACTGCTGCTACTTCAACGGAAAACTCCAAACCCGATTGATGGGCCCTCCTCCTCCTCCTCCTCCTCCTCCTCCTCCTCCTCATCCTCATCCTCCTCCTCCTCCTCCTCCTCCTCCTCCTCCTCCTCCTCCCCCTCCCCCTCCTCCTCCTCCTCCTCCTCCTCCTCCTCCTCCTCCTCCTCCTCCTCCTCGTCCGGGAGGAGTCACGGCGAACGCACTGGTACGACGCCATCTGCAAGCTGCCCCCTTCGCCACATCCCCAGGGGACCGAACAGCGGACGAGCTGGGCTTGGCAGTGCCTGCGCCTGGCCACGCGACCGCGGTGCCCAGTGCACTCGGGGTCTCCACGGCCGCTCAGGGCCTCCTCGGCCAGGTGGCACTCCTGGCAAATCTGAAGCAGGCAATCCTGCAGTCGCCCGTCGCCATCCCGACCCGCCGGCCAACGCGGCATCCCGCAAAGTTGGCCCCACCGCTTCAACGACCAGATCACCCCAGGCAAAGAGGCGCCCAGGTCGCCCATGTCTCCACCCGCCAATGCTGCTGATGGAATCAGCTATGTATCCGACAATCACGTCAAGTCCCATCCTCCTCCGTTTCTGCATCCTCGTCCCCCTCCTCCGTCTCGCTCCCCCTTCCCTCCCTCCATTCATCCATGCATGCCATGCTCATTCTCCTGCTTCCCATCCCCCATCCCCACCCCCCACCTCCCGCCTGCGCGCGCGATGAGAGGGAAGATGAAGGAGGTAGGAGGGAGGGCGGGAAGGAAAGGGAGAGGGAAGGAGGGAAAGGGAAAGGGAGAAAGTGGGAGGGAGGGAGGGGGAGAGGGATCAGGAGAGTGAGGAGGAGGAGGAGGACGACGAGGAGGGAGCCTCTCCGCCCCCCCTTCCTCGACGCGCGAGGGTCGAGATGGGAGAGGGGAGGAGAAGAGGGATGCAGAGGAGGAGGAGGAGGAGGAGGAGGAGGAGGAGGAGGAGAAGGGAGAAGGAGAATGAGGAGGCGGAAGGAGGAGGAGGAGAACAAGGAGGAGGGGGAGGAGGACGGAGAAGGAGGAGGAGGGAGAACGAGGAGGAGGAGGAGGAGGAGGAAGAGGAGGGAGGAAGGACTCTGGGGCGCGCGCGGATCTGCACCAGGGAGCAGGGCTGCAGGCTCTCGAACTGGCGTCGGAGCTCCTGGGGGCTGCGACAAAGAATGCGACGACGACGACGACAGCTGGAACGAGAACGGCGATGATGATGACGATGACGATGACGATGACGAACTCGAAGACGATGGTGATGATGATGGTGATGATGTTGATGACGATGTGATAATGATGATGACGATGATGATAATGGTAATGATAATAGTGACGATGGTGGTGATGGTGGTGGTGGTGATGGTAATAGTGATGGTGGTGAGGGTGATGATGAGGATGATGATGATGATGGTGATGATGATGGTGATGATGATGATGGTGGTAATGATAATGGTGAAGGTGATGGTAATGGTGATGGTGATGGTGATGATGGGTATGATGGTGTTGATGATCATGGTGATGACGATGATGATAACGCTGACAGTGATAAAAACGATGATGACCATCATCATGGGGATGACGATGATAGTTACGATGATGACGATGCTGATGATGACGATGACGGTGCTGATGATGATGGTGATGATGCTGATTACGGCGATGGTGCTGATGCTGATGATGATGCTGATGATGACGATTATGATGATGATGATGCTGATGATGATGATGCTGATGATGATGATGATGGTGATGATGCTGATGATGATGATGATGATGATGATGATGATGATGATGATGATGAGCATCTTTGATGCTGCCGAGCGTCTGGGGGCGGGGAGGGAAAGAAGGCACCCCCTGAGACAGCATAGCAGAACTCCTTGAGTCCACCGGACCCTTTGGAAATATCCGAAGCCCCTCTTTCTTCCACTCCTCCCTCAGCCTTCCCTCCCCCTCATGTGCAAGGGAGCTGAACAAAGGAATAGTAGAACTCCTTGAGTCCACTGGAACCTTTGGAAATATCCGAAGCCCTTCTTTCTTCCACTCCTCCCTCCGCCTTCCCTCCCCCTCGTGTGAAAGGGAGCTGAACAAGGGACGCTCCCCAGGCAAGCCGGACTCCTGGCAGGTCTCCCTGAAGATGGACTGCAGCGACCTGCGTGGAAACGCGCCGATGGGAAGGACCTCCTCCTCCTGCTCCTCCTCCTCCTTCGCCTCCTCCTGCTCCTCCTCCTCCTCCTCTTCCGCCTCCGCCTTCGCCTTCGCCTTCGCCTTCCTCCTCCTCCTCCTCCTCCTCCTCCTCCTCCATTCGTTTTCCTTCTGGATAACTCCTCTCTGTCGCACCCCGAGGCCGGTCGAAAGAGCGGACCGACCGGGCGTTTTGCCTGATACTTCACCACCAATCGTCACCCTGAAGCTTAAAAGTTGGCAAACGGTTCACAGATGGAGGGCAGGCCACATCAAAGATGTGGCTCTCGCCTTATCGCCGCACACATTCGTAGTAAAAGTTTGCAAGAGCTTCACGAATTGAGGGCGGGTCGTTATCGAAGTGTGGCTCCCGCATTGGCGCCGCCGTTTGAAAATTTGCCCAAGCTTCACAGATTGAGGGCGGCTCCTTTTCTAAATGTGGCTCTCGCCTTAGCGCCGCGCACATTCATTGAACAGAGTTCAAGAGCTTCAAAGAATTAGGACAGGCTGTTTTCAACATGTAGCTCTCCCTTCAGCGCCACGCACGTTCGCTTTAAAAGTTTGCGAGAACTTCACGGATTGAGGACGGGTCGTTTTCAAAATGTTCCTATCGCCCTAGCGCAGCGCACATTCTTTCAAACACTTTGTAAGTGTTTCACGGATTGAGGGCGGCATTCATTCTACAGCATTGCACGAGTTTCACGGAGTCTTATGGTTAACGTACTAGAAGCGGCGTTTTGGAGCGAGTCGCGATTGTCAAGGCGCAATCGTTACGTTGGTTCCCTGCTGAAATTCCAGGAACGGTGATCTGGCACATTTCAAGATCGTCAAGCTGCAACAGTCACATTAACTCGTGGCGCTAAAATCCTGAGAACGGTGTATGGGCACGCTACAGGATTTTCACACCTTTGTCCCCCAACGGGGCCAATCCCTCCGTGGAATTGAACCCGTGTGGGGGCTGAATTATGACGAGAGAGCTTGAAGGGAGGGTGCATTACAACATCGCTGATGAGTCTTACGGTCAGTAGGTTCACACTGGTCCTCCTCCTCCTCCTCCTCCTCCTCCTCCTCCTCCTCCTCCTCCTCCCTCCTCCTCTCACCTCATCATCCTCCTCCCAGAGCAGGCGTCCCCGATGATGCAAAAGAGTATAAAATATTCTTATTCGCCCGCACATTCTTGGAACGCCTGCAACCCGCCCGACTCCACTCCTTTTGAGTGAGCTTTCATGGGAGCCTCTGTGGACTGCCGCGGCCCTGTCATACTTGACCAGAATTCGTCCAGATGTCGACCACACCTCTCCACGCTTTCGTGCAGATTTCGTTGAGATACCGTCCAAATGTCGTCCAGGCGTCGACCACATCCGACGAAGTCTGGACGAGATCCCCCAAACCGCAAGGAAATGGAGGACCCTCTGAGGCTTCCATGAAGCACCACACGACCCCTTCCCTGCTCGCCGTGGGGAAACCCAGAGGTACCGATACCGCTACTCCCTGGACCTCTTACGGGGTGCGTTCTGGCCAGAATCTCGAGGCGAATTCAGCGGTGGCGACGAGGCCCTCCCGAGAGGCCCAAAAAGGGGAAAACGGGCGAAGGGTGCTGATATGGGTACTCCAGACTTCGTAATAAAAGGGAGGGGGTCTCAACCCTCCCAGACGAAAAGTTTTAGACCCCCCCCCGTGGGAGAACCCTCCAAAACATCGTCCCCAGACCCCCCCAGGCCCTCCAAGATAGCCTGGAAGAGACCCCCCCCGAAATGAGACCCCCCTCCCTTTATTGCGAAATCTGGAGTACCTTCCCCTCCTCCGAACCCCTTCCCTGCCCGTCGCTAGGGACCGCGTGCTCGAGAACCCCCCTGCTCGCGGCGAGCGGCGCAGCGGCAACGACCAGAGAGAGGGGAGGGCCACCCCGAGCCGCCGGCCGGGCGACCGGCACTGGTCGAGGACCGTCTCCGACACGTAGAACTCCTGAGCTGCGGGCCCCAGGGGGGCACAAAAGGGAGCACCACCGCGAGGCTGGACCAGAGGCCTCCTCCCCCTGCTCCTCCTCCTCCTCCTCCTCCTCCTCCTCCTCTCCTCCTCC